TAAAATATAATTATGAATTAAAGGAAACCATGCTTAAAGCAGTGGAATGCACAAAATACATGTACAAGAAATAATATCCGAAGCAAGTAACAAAAACGGCGCCTTAAATCGAAGGTTTTTACAAGGATTAGCTTTTCTAAAAAGCTTGCCTGACTTGAGCTATATTTTTACTCGGGAAAAAAAAAGTGTAATCAACATGACTCTGATTCATAAAATGAATTCTTTTGCTAAGAAATAAAAGAAGTTCACATAGCTATTTTATGCTTGTGTCCCCTAAATCATGTAAAATTTAATGTTAACTTCTGATAACTTTTTTTATGCTCTATAAGGAATATTTCCTTGATAGTGTCCATCCTAAACTGAAAATTTCTGACATTTCTTCCAATGGACCTGTTCATGCATGGATAAAAAGATATACCGAGTGTCTTTGAAAGAAAAAGTTACAACACAGAAAAAGCTAAACATCAATTGGTGAACAATTTTGATAATTAATAATTGTTTTATTCAAAAAAATAAAAGTGTTTTACAAATGATCTAACTTTGCATTTAAGCAAAAGAATATTCAACATCTATACTTCACTTTGATAATTTTTAAACTCTGAATAAATCAAATGCCTGCAAGGTATGAATATGTGTAGATTTATAAAAAAAAATTTAAGGTAGAGAGACTTAGTATTCATTGAAAATAAACATCCATTAGTTAATCTGATAAAGATAATCGACAAGTGTTGACCTGACCAGCTTAATTCCTTCTGTTTTGCTGGGTATGAATGATGCATTCGAGAATGGCCAAATGTTTTGTAACTTGTAATGTATCATGGCCGTAGGAACCGGGGGGGGGGGGGGGTTATATAGATGACTATAGAAAATTTAGCTACTTCTAACTTGTGCCCCCTCAATAAAAACGTCTGATGACCTTTTTTTTTTTTTGCTTGTCAAGGAATTTTTGGTAGTTGATAGTGCCGCCAACTGAAAATGTATGGCTGTGCCCCCCAAACTGAAATTGCTTCCTACGGGCCTGTGTATAATGTGATAATAATGACATCAGCTCCAATGCTCAGGCTTGTTTGGGTGTTTAGCATGTTTCCTTTACTCCTCATGCTCTCCAATTGATAGTTAAGATAGTATGAAGTTTCAAAGATCAAGTTATCACAAGCATTCTATTGAACGACTTGACCAACAAGCCTTGACTAAATCTAGTACTGTCTGACGCCATGAAACCTAGATATCTTGGGTGGGAGTGACACTGAAGTGTGCAAGGACTTACTCTCTGTGGTTGGTGTGAGACTAACACTGATCAGTCAAATGTTGTGAAAGGTGTGCAAAAGGAATAATTCTAATATTTTAGGGGGAAGGGGGCGGTGCAAGCACTATCTTAAGTCAAACAAATTCATTGAGAGGATTAACCCTATAAATTGTTGATTGTTTCTCCATTGCACTTTAGTGTGGCGTATCTCATAGGAAACGAACCATCAGACTTATCTATGACGGACCGAATGAAAGGGCTACATTTGTTATAATATATTATTTTCTACAAAGGCTATATTCGTTATTTTTTTTGAAAAGGAAGATTGTTATAAAATAAAGAAAAAATATATTTTTAGAAAGTATCGGTGAATCCGAGTATTTACTGATTAACCACATTAACTGGAAAAGAATTTTGATTGGTTTGAATGCAGGAAGGGGGTAATGGTAATGTGTAATGGTAATTGATAGTAAATAATTACAAATTTCCATGTAATTGAAAGTAACGTGTAATTGGCCAAATTTTTAATTACATATGTTATCGTAATTTAATTAATTAATTTTGAGAAAAAGCATGTCATTCACAATTACTTTTCAATTACACTGATATTTAATGAATGAAAACTAGCTCCTGCTTCCCACACACACTCTATTCAAGAGAGCTTAACTGATCTTTTAGACAAAATATTTTTGATTGTCAATTTTTTAAAAGGAATTTAAATATTTCTCTTTTGCAATTTCTTAAAAACGTTTGAATCAAAATAATATCCCTGTGTTAAAATAAAGTTAATGATTTTGATCAAGTTGGTTATGAATTGACAGTTAAAATACCTAATCCAATGGCTTCTAATCCTTTGTTTGCCATATATGTTTATTGCTTGTTAAAAGTGCTAATTAGTGCCCTACACATTGACACTGAACTTTAATAGATATCTTTAAAAGACAGATGCTACGTTCTTCAGTAATATATAATTTTTCCAAGATTTTGTCATTGCTACTTTAACATGCTTCCTCACAAAAAATTGAGGTACCTGACCAGGCATTTATGCATGATACAAATGGTTGGTGTTTCCTATATAATCCTTTTGGAAATAACCTCAATTGTCAATGTAAATTTTTTTAGCCTTTTGATTATTTAAAGACTTTCAGAAACCAGTTTAGAAATCCGAAGGTAATTAAAATTCTTAATATTTTTATGCAGTACAAAGAGATACAAAACAGATTTTTGAGGAACGTATCGTCTGACCTTACCACATACTTTGACTTCGTATTTATGGTAGTTGACACATATTCCAGCATTTTGAGATAGCTTAGAATGCTGAAAAAGGAAACACCTAGGCAAATGCATCCATTGTTTTACATAAATATATCAGAAAGTTTTAAAATGACATTAAATTTGGTAACATATATGAATTACTTATATAAAGTAAAAACAAGAGTAAACTTGATACTATTAATCAATATCTATCTATTCCTGCCACATCTGCTCCAGTGGAAAGTTTTTTTTTTCAGTTGGTAGGAAAAACCTGTAGACCTTAGAGATGTAGGTAAGGGGACACTATATTTGAAAATTTCATGAACAATAAAAAATTGTGATTGTAAAAAAAATGTTGCATCTGATATGAATATGAATAGGAACGTTCATGACTTTTTAAGTGTTTTCTTAAAAATGTATTCTGTAATTTAATGAATTACATTTGCAAAGTAATTGTAATTTAATTAATTACATTTCGAAATCCTTGTAATGGTAAAGGTAATTTAATTAAAGCTTTTGGGCATGTAATTGTAATTTAACTAATTACTTTCTTATATAATTGACCCCCATCCCTGTTTGAATGAAATACACCAGTGAATCACGTTCACTTTTACAAGTAACAATACTTCTCTAATCTATTATAAGAAAGTAAAAGTCTATCTATATTAACCCTTTCTCTACCGGCACATTTTACGTGATTTTGGAGACCTTTTGACATAGCATTATCAAATTATTTCTAACCTTTTTATCCAAGGAGAAAGCTAGACATAATGCATACCATTTTGTAGGGAATTTCTTAGAGATGATATTTCATGACTATTCAGATACCCAACGACTGACCTTATTAGTAGAAATGGAGGTCAAAGGTCAAATAAGTGCAAAATTTTATGGAATTTTTCGATACTTTTTAAACTTCAAGCTAAAAATTAACAATGATGTATGTTGAAATAGGAAATTTGGAATATACTCACAAAAGAGCATTATACTGTACTTCATGAATTACATAAACTTTTTTTTCAATTCTGCATATAATGACTTTAAAGGGGTTGCTTAGCAACGGGGTATTTTTCAATTTTCGGGCAGTAATTTTCGTTTTTTTCTCATCCTAGACACATTCATGCATTCCAGCACATTTTAAAGTCAGATATGAGGTCATAAAATTAAAAGGGATATACAGCAGATAAATTGTCTTAAAGTTTGACCTCATTAACACTATTTTTAGGAGGTCAAAGGTCAAATTAGTGCAAAAATTTCATCAACTTTTTCAACACTTTTCAATATTCTTGCTAAAATTTTACACAATGGTTGCTGAAAAAGAAAATTCTGAATATACTCTGAAGAAATCATCAGATCTGCAATATCCATACAACATTTCATTTCAAATATTTGTTAAATGACCTTTAAGTGGTTGCTTAGCAACAACATTTTTAATTTTTTTGGCTGTATACACTGTATGTTTGTTATTGCTCATTCTAGACACTTTTTTGTGAATTCCATGATATTATAAGTAAGATATGGGCCAAAATAATGTAAAGAACATTATTTAATTAAGTATTGACCTTGACACCTCTGTTCTTAGGGGTGGGGTGGGGGGGTCAAGATCATATCAGTACAGGATTCTGCCTTAAATTGCAAGTATATATCAATTTTAAAATGCTGCAATCACTACGGATATATCATCTAATAGATGACGTAAACAAATTGTGAACAACAAAATCCTGAGAGAAATTTTTAAAAAATGAATTTTGCATATCTTGGTTGCCATTCCATAAATCCATCTAAAATTTGTGAACTGAAATAAAATTTGTAAGATGTGATTGCATGTAATTCAACGTTCATGACACACATATTAAAATAATATGGTAAAAAAAAGAATTATCATAAATTTCAAATTTTTAACAGATTTCCTGTCTTTACTGAGTTACTTGTTAAAACAATTTTGTCATTTGATAAGCATGAAGAAACCTCACAAGATGGACAATGGATGGAACTTGGAATCTCTTTTTCAAATGAGTGGTTTTTGCATTACAATCCTTTCATTCATCTTATTTATGTGACATGCATTTGCTCATTTTTGCAAGCAAAGGATTCTGGTCTGCTATTCCTCTCACAAACCCTTAGCCTATCATGATATCAAAAGTCAGGATTGTTTAAGTCACCTGATCTTGAATCACAGCTTGCATCATTCATAGAAATAAAGAGCATTTATAAAACGTGAAGTATCTGAAAAATAATTAACAAGCAGACATGTTTATTTGTTAGTAAGTTTGCAAGTCTTTATCTGCAATATAGGTTCCAGATTACATTATGTGCACATAATCTTCACGGTGGATGATATGTCATAGCAATTTCAAGAATGGAATGTTATCTTTTGAATCATTGTTTACAAGGGTTTTTATTACTGAGACTAGAGAGTCAAGAAACATCCTGAATGAAAATATCGTCATTTACTATAGCACTTGCTGATTGGTCAAATGATGTTAATAAACTCCAACCACAACTTGTGAAAATAATCCGGACTTTTGATAGCAAGATAGACCATGGGTTTGTGAGAAGAACAGCAAATCCCTTCGCTGGTGAAGACGGCATTCACTAGCCATGTTTGATGAGAAACAATTGACTTGGTCTTTCAAGGCAATAATAAATTGACAATGCAAGTAATTAAAAATCAGGTTGTCAAAAATTTGAAGTACAATTTACAAACAGGGTTTCTTGTGTTCTAATTTTTTTAAAAAAAAATTCACAACCATAATATCAAGTAAATTAAAAAATAAACAGTACTTTCCACTAGTGCAACTTCGTTCCAATTTATGATGCATATTTACTAGCAAATTAAATTGACAGACCCACAGGTCCTATACATTTCATGAAAGATGTGGCTAATAAAGGTTTTTAATTTTTTTTCTCACTCCAAAAAAAAAAAAAAAAAGGACAAAAAGGTCTGACTGAACAGTACGTGATGTAAAAATTACAAAACAGTAACTACAACATGTATACAATCTTTCTGTTAAACAAAAACAAATCCATTTTCTTGATGCCATTAAAAATAACCTATACTTCATTGATTTTCCTCCCGACTTTAAATTTAACAAGAAAATATAAACTGATTGATTTCATTACAAGCTTAAGATTTTTCTGGTAACAGTTCTTAAGGCGTACAATAAAGACTTGACATGTCATCTTGGAGGAAAAAAATAATAATAGAAGACATTGGCAATATCTAATGCAAAACTGTTTAGTCAATAAGTTGAAAAAGTTATGTTTTTATACAAATATACAAATCCAGAAATATTGCAAGCTGAATTCCAAATCAGACTGATTTAATCTTCCACAAAATGTTGAAGACCAGAGCACTTTTACTTTGTGGCCACCATTCTTTCATCAACTGTCATTTCTCTGAAAGACAGGAGGAATGTCTTTGACTTGTCTAAGACATGATCATTTTCTGTCAAGTACATGTAATCAGCTATTTAATATCCTGTAAAAGATTTAAATATTTTGAAACAGATAATGTGAATTTACATACATAAAATTAGAATGCGACAATTAATACATTGATGTAATTTTCCTTTTAAAATAAAAAGTATATTTATGTGATTCATGTAGTTAAATGATTTGGTTAAGTCAATGTATCAGGACTGAAAAATCATCAACCTAGTAATAAACCATCATGGTTGAATTATTGAACTAAAAGAAATAGCATACCTGGCTGTCAGGGTTGTTAAGAGAAAGGACACAATGGACTGAAAACTGTTACTTCAGGGCAAAATTCTTGGGGCAAGGCTGTTCATGTACATGGGAGTGTTGATATATAGCCATCCAGTGAACATAGTTTGTCCATCCATGTATACATGTACATGATAATTCGAAAATGACTGAAAAATTGAGAAAATGGAAATTCTAACCACATACTTTACTAGATTGAAAATACCACAGCAGTCTATAAAAGACTGCTTATTCCCTTTCTGGGCATAAATTCGAATAAATATTGTGTGTTTAAATAGTGTGTTTAAATGTATAATCATGAATCATAAATATCATGTGTATCACACACTTTTTTCAGAATATAAATCAAATTCTTATAAACTTGTGTGAATGCAATATCAAGAGAATGCAATTAAAATTTCACTTTATTTAGAATTTTTAGAGATACAGACACTTTCACTACCAAAACAAAAATTTACCTGTTCGTTGGTCATAATAAGCACCTGTGTCCCCACATAATGATCTTTCTAGTGCATGGTGGGGTTAGCAATTGGGTCTTCACAGATGAAAGTACTGAAGCATATGGTGCCAGTACCCTAATCAAAGTACTGAAAGTACTACTACGAGTTGATGGTATTGATTATATAATGTTTAAGGAGGCTGGGGGTCAACAAATTAACCATCAGATATAACTTATTTTTTTAGATATGATATCTTAAGCTGTCAACTATCATTTGGCAAAGAAAAAATTCATACATTTTAGTTTTAAAATTTGATCATTTTTGTATATCTTTATATGGAGCTCTTCTTTTAAAGGAGATCAATATAGTCTAAAAATGGCCACGACCACCCAGCCCTCTTAAATGAGTTGAGGTCTCTAGTCCATATATGGATATGTGATATTATGTTCAATGATGAAAGCTATCACTTTAAAATCTTTTCTTTTTGTTTTCTTTGAGAAATAAAATTATATCATTTTATTTACACCTTTTGCAACATGTATTTTTAACATGTATATTTATTTTTGTTCTTTAATATTTACTGGAATGTATGATAATTTATCACAAATCGAACCCTTAAACATAGAAAACAAATAATACTAGCTAGTTTTGGGATTTTTCATAAAATGGCAATGTAGCTTGCATTTAAAGTAATTCGTATTTTTACAAAATATTAAAGGATACCATCATTGAAATGGTCACAGAGCACAGACTATCATCATTAAAACTACCGAGAACAATTTTTGGTCACTCGATGTCATTTGACAGAAATATTATATATCAAATGACTAGAAATTTCAAATAGGGACAAATGGCACAACTGTTGTAAAATCATATAACAGTATTAAAACAACTCCTAAATAGACAAAAAAAAAAAAAAAAGAAAAAAAAAAGAAAGAAAGAAAAAGAAAAAGCCTTAAACACACATATCTAAAACTAATAGGTCAAACCTACTATAGTATTACAAATAGGGAATTATTATTTACAAATAGCGCAAATTGAATTATTTCATTAACATGCTTATTGAATATTTTCACTGCTTTCTTAAACTGACAAACAATTTGACATTTTCAATGCACATCAATATGTTCCAATTCATTTATATGTAGATTTCATAATTCAATTTTCTTGATTTAGTTACTATTGAAATTCAACTCCTTTTTTCAAAATTTACATGCACATATGATATTTCAAATCTTTTGATTTAGCCACTCTTGATATTCAGCCCCCTGTCTTTTATGATCATTCACAATAATATTCTTGATTACGCTACTCTTGGAATTCAACTTCTTGACATTTAATTGAAATGAGCATTTTATATGTTATTTCGGTTAGTTTAGTCACTCCTGAAATATAACTACTTGACTTTAATTGACATGCACATTTTATATATCATTTCTCTCGGTTTAGCCTTTCTTGAAATTCAACTACTTGACTTTCATTGATACATGTATGCATTTAAAAATTCGTTCGGCTTTTCGACTTAAGACTTTAAATTCATCACAATGACATGATATTGACTATTTACATGATCTATCTACTATTGAATTAATTTGATTTCTTGATCATTTCACATTTATAAATATGCATTTCACATTTAATTTATCAATAACATCCCACTTAATTTTTTGTTTTTATTTATCGCCTTCAGTACTATTAATTCACTTTATAACATGGCCAGCATCTGGTAGCAAAACACAGCTGGACATATTAAAGAAAACCACTTTCCAGTGTAGTGCCGACAATTGAGATAAGAATCATAGGCGTGTTAAGTGACCATTGCTGTATTTAAAGCTTGCTGTGAAACAGATCTAGATTGTGGAAGACAGGAATTCTCAACAGTGTTTTTAACAGGGAAAAAGAAATTGGAGCACAAAGTTGTCCGCTGCTGAAAAAATCTGACCCTTTAAGCAATCGAAATATTTTATTGCTTGCACAAGAAATAAGAACTTTAATTTTAAAATTGTTTTTTCAACTAGTACAGCTCATTTCTTCCGTTTGAGATTAGTAGCTGATTTACTTCGACCGTCCTTACTGCATACTTCTCGCCTTGTTTACAAATATAGGAAGTGTTCTCTGTGTTGAACGATTCATCACTAACGCGGAAAAACTGCTCTGTTCATTAGCATAACAGCGCAAGAATTACTTTATTTATATACCACCAGCACGTCAATCTTTTAAAAATAACCTGGTTTGTAAATGTTCAATTTTGTGAATTTTCTTTAAAAATCTGTTTTCAAAATACTTCTTATTATATAAAACATTTATTGATTTATAAATCAAAACTTTGTTTGCACGACATGTCACTTTTGTTGACCGCATGCCCCTAACACTATTTTCTTTCGCGGATGGACACAAATTCCAATAAAATTAATAATAAATATTTATGTTTATAAACACTTTAAAGCATATCAGGAAACATATTCTTGTTCTGTAGATTATGAAAACGGTAAATAAACCAATATTATACAAGAACCTGTACGCAAAATACTCAAATGAAAATGTGATTAGTTTCGATACATTGGGGAATCCCTTACAAGTCACATAACATGAGTTGATACCATCAACTCGTAAAAATTCAGTGTGATAGTGTATGTACACACATACTGACAACAACTCTCCATTATCATGCCAACTTGATTTTACTTTGAAAGGTACTTCAGGGTGGTCGTCAAAAGTATACACTTCAAAAGCAACACAAAATTGGCTGAACTAGTTTCAATCTAAAATACGAGATTCAAACACTGACACAGGGTAACATCACAAGAGTCAGCAGTTTTAACCATAAAACAATGTAAACACTAACCATTGAGCTTCGCGAGTGAGCTCGCTACGCTCGCGAAGCTCACTGGTTAGTGTTTACTTTGTTTTATGGATAAAGCTGCTGACTCTTGTGCCTAGATACATGAAGACCTAGTACATGTGTACATTTTGTTTTCATTTGAATGTGAATTAATGCGTTTTAAAGACAGTTTTAACTCTTCAGTCAATATTTACTCACCTCTAAAACCAAAGGAAAGACCGTATTATTTGATGCATTGATGTGATGTTCTTCGTTGTAAAATAATCATGAAAACATCATCATGTTGTTGTTTACTGCTACAGCGGAAACACGTGGTAATCTCAATTCGTATCAACTCTTACAGGGATGAGTCGTGTAAATGCGAGTTTTTGTGCTTGTTTAAAAGTTGTTAAATTCCGTGTCAGTATACATGGTATAGATCTAATTAGATTTCATATTAAGAAAATATATGACATACAGCAATATTAAATCTGATTTTTTTTTCCGACGTAAAGACGTTTAGGGAATCTACATTTCGTATCAACATTATTGTACATGTAATGTAGATAAATAAATTCATTATATTAAAAAATTAAACTTCACAAAAGGTAGAAAGATAGTATATATGTTTTTCAAAACAATTATTTTGTATTAAGTATTTATTTCATTAAAAGTATATATTAAAATAGTACTTCATATGTTATAAAACAATATTTTGTTCCGAGTAAGACGCAACAGAATCGACCTTGACGTTAAATATTGATTGCCCGTGATTTTTCTATAAAAATTATGCAAAGGTCACAAATTCAAACTATCGTTATTAAGAAAATACTGAGAGTAAGAATATCAGTAAAGGCTTGTTGAAAAGGAAATTTTCTCTAGTTTTACCAGCTTTATTTTGTTTTCCCTATTTCAATACAGAAATACACGTAAACATGAGCTTTGTATAAATATGACGATTAAAAACGAGAAAAAACACATAAGTGCAAGAAAATTCTTGTTTTTACAAAATATTTTAAAGTAATAACAATAATTTTTACATATTTTAAAAGCAGAGAAAATATACTTTAAGAATATATCACACTTTCTTTATTATGTTAATCGGGAAAAAAATGTCAATCGTCGGGAAAATCGTCAATTGCTTTGGAAAATTGCGCCATTTTCAAAAAGTCATGTATGTCTTCAAAACGTAAAATCTATTTATTACCGACATTAAGACATAAATTTTCTACATAGTTTTAAAGTAGAGAAAATTTCCAAAAAGATGATATATAGTTTATATACTTTTGTGCTTTCATAAAATAAATAAAGAGATCTTATTTTCGCGAAGTCGTGTTTTAACGCGCCATCGGTCAAATTGACTGGTGTGGAAGTGAAGGGGTTAAGAAAGACCTAGTCTATCCGCATTTCTATACCTTGACACTTGATATCAAACGAACTAATGATAAAACTCATAATAATGCGTGATATGTGAGATATATAGAAAATAATTCATACCTTTTTCTATATCACACCTCGCAACAGCCCGATACACGAATATCAGTCAGCGGCTGATAAAGTATATGATATGAAAAGGTACGATTTATTCTCAATATACGTATTTGAAATATATATGCAATTTAAAATATCCGCAATGCAAAATGTATGATACATATCTAATTTTGTGGAATATTGTGATATTCATCCGGCGAAAGGCATCTTAGACAAAAAGAAGATATAGTAACTCTTCCTTCGCCAAACGCTCGGGATAAGTAGTTCAAGTTAAACTGGTATTAGGACTTCGCATTTCGTCTTGAAAAGTTTCAGCTCTTAAGCAACAACTTACAAAAATCTTGTATTGATATTTTGCAACGACAAAGTGCCTTCATAAGGCACATTGATTATCTCTTGTGAAGTCCTACTAAGAGTGAAAAAGTCACGTCGGGACCAAGAACTCCATATAACGGACATACATGTACATTAGGTTTTTAATGATCATAAGGTATTTTGGACTTATGCATATGTACTTTCTCATAATCAATACTTAGTTCTTAAGTCCAAACGATTGTACTTTTAAATGTGTTTTGGTAGGAGCAGATTTTTTTATATACTGAAAGCAATCAAGATTTTTCTTACACTATGGTGATGACTGATGATATAAATTTCACTAAAAATACAATGTAGCATTAGTGCATGTCTTTGCTTTCGTTAATTATACAGTTGTATAATTCATCAACCATTATTTTAACCAATAATGTTACAACACCGTTCGATACTTTTGTCAATTATTGATTACATCAATGATTAAAAAAAATATTTAAACTTATAATGAACAAGAATAAAATTTATCGACTTTTGATTTGAAGATAT